AAGCAAGCTTTCTGGAAACACTGTCTTCCCAGATCACAAACCACAAATGGCCTCTTTGCCTCAGTTCTGGAATTAGTGGGTCTTTCCTTTCACATTTCTCCTCCTCCACCTGCACAGATTCTCCTTCCTGAGCACATTCTAGGTCACCCCTCCTGCCTAGAGCACCACCCTGTCTCTCTGCCCTAGCCAGAGAGAGCCATGCCTATACAGGCTTGGAACTCAGACAGGCCTGAGTTTGAATCTGTAATCCCTCACTAGCTCTATGGCCTTGGGAAATTGACATAACCTCTCTGCCCCTCAATCTCTCCACCTGTAAAATGGGGCCACACCATCTCTTAGGGTGGCTGTGGGGTTTAGATGAGATGACGGTTGTAAAATAAGGGGTTCACATGGATCCTGGCCAAACACAGGAGCCATGCTGTTACTCTGACCCTTCAAGTCCTAGTTCAAGTACCTCCTCCATAAAGGCCCCCCCATCACTGTGCCTCCTCCATCCTGATTTTATGGCATCTTCCTGATCTACCACCCTGTCTTGCCCCCAGGGTTCTACTATCTGTGGACTCTCAAGCAAGTGCCCTTGTCTCGTATACCTTAGGGTCTTCCTCTGTAAATAGGCATGGAAGTAGAACCCATCTCATGGGGTGTGGTGAGGCTAGTGAGTGGACATATGTGAAGTGCCTGGCACATGGAAAGTGTCATAGGTGTGTTATTAGTTTTACTACTGGCCCCTTTGCATCTGCTTTAACTGCCCATCCTGCTGTCAAATCAATTGCAAGTGCCCTGAGTCAGGGACGGAGATGCCTATTTCCCTGTGACTACCTCCAGCACCTGGCACCCAGTAGGGCACCCAGCAGGGCCTGGTGGGTGCCCTAGCCTCATCCACCAGGCCTGGCAGCAACTGGCAGATCCCCCAGACTCTCAGGCCTTCCAGGCTTCTTTAATACCAGGGGCCAAAGTAGGGTGGGAATGGAAATTGGCAGATGGGCCTCTCACAGGAGCCCCTACCCCGCCCTTGAACCCCTTCCCATTTCTATAGGCCTCTGCCCTCTCAGGACTCCCCCAAGAGCCCTTCTCTTCTCCTCCCTAGCGACTGTCCCCAACTCAGCGAGGGAGCCCAGGGCAGGATGCAGCGACAAGGAGCCTCGGGGCAGGACTGCACACTGACACGGGCCGGGGGCCGGCGCTGAGTGTTTATTACCTGTGCCATCGACCCACACAGCTCACTGTTTATCTGTCTTCCTGACACACCTAATTACCCAGGTTGCAGCTGCCAGAGCGTTTGCTCTTCCTAAATCACGGGCTCCCATCCCTCCTGTCGCCCAGGCCTCCAGGCCTCTGCCTGCAGAAGGGCTGCCATTGATTTTGCCGTTCCCATTTATGATCTACAAGGCTGTGCATCGCTGTTGCACATTTTACCTTAATTAGTTTATTCTTCTGGGCGTCCCTGGTCAGCCTGGAAGCCAGGAGGCTGGAACAGGGGAAGAGGCTAACAATACATGGCACCCTCACCCCTGTGGCCACAAAGCCCAGCGCCTAAACAGACATCAACACCCCAGGACAGCAATTTGCTCAGAACAGCGACAGCTACAGATGAGCTGCAAAAACGGGTTCCATGGTCAAGTGTATTTGGGAAAGGCTGAATTAAATAAAATTAAACCTGTAATTTACTGCGGGGCTTAACACAGCTTTGCCTAGACTGATATCCACTGAGAGTCCCCCAGAGAAGGGGTGGAATATTTGGTCATTCCCGAGCTGAAATCATCATGAAACCTTGTCTCCAGGAGCTCTGAGACCAGAATTCTGTAAAACACCCATTGTGGACAATTGTCTTGGGTGAGGAGTGGGGGATTGGAGGTGATAAGGCAAACCGAGGGGGCGAGAGTCAACCCTGGGCCCATTTCTCCTGTTGGCTAGTGGGGGGCAGGAACTTGGGGACTTGACAGAATTGTCCTCCTGACTGCAGCAGTGCCTATTAGAGCTCTGCAGAGCCCCACTGCCGGCAGCTATTTTCTCCCCAAGGCCCAAGCTTTGGTAAAATTGAGCTTCAGTATTTCTGTTTCAGCTGGTGGTAGTGTCTAAAGGGGCCCCGATTTGACAGAGAAGGGCAAGGGTCACTTGCTGTTGGTGAAGGCTGGAGACGCAGATGCCTGCAGGGCCCGCTCGGAGGCCCCCGGGCATTAGGAGGCGATGACAAGGCTGCTACTGCCTGGGGATCAGCGTGAAGATGGCATTGGGGGGCCCCTGGGCCCTCTTCCACAGCCCTGAAATCCAGAACACTCTGAAAGTCTCAAGTGCTTTTTTTAAGTTTGTGGGAAAGTGAATTGATAGCAAAACCTGTCCTGAAATGATGTGAACTATTTATAGGCTTTATTTATCCCACTTGGTGTGAATATTCATATATTTCACTGCAGAAATATTAATGTGTTTAATTACAGGTACTGCCCCAGTCCCTGTGTGTGTGTGTGGGGGGGGGGGTTATGCAATAAATGGTGTGTGCACTGTTACCTTTCTCAAACATAAAGGGGGAAAATCTAAATTTCTGAGCACATCCAGTCCCCGGGATTGCAGTGTGGGGCTGCAGACCTGGAGGGGGTGCACAGTCGGCCGTCTGACCTACGGCCAGGGCGCCATTGTGTTTCCTCCTGAAATCCCACAGCTATGCTGAGGGGCCAGAGCTGGTCCCAACTCTCAGAAGAGGAAACCAAGTCGGAAGAGGATAAGGAATTGACCAAGGCGAGGAGGGGACGGGAGCCAGAGCCAGATGCTGGCTCAGGCCACTACGGTCAGGCCCGGTGCTTCTACCGGAAGCGGCTCCTCAGCTGCCCTGTAGGCCTCCCTTCCCTTCACAGTTGTGGCTCCTCAGTCCAGGCATCCACCGGAACAAACCCCTACAGGTCTTGGAGATCACCCCCTACCCCCGTGAAGGGCCAGTCCCTTCTCTGGACAGGGCTCTCCCCCCACAGAGGGTCAAGCAGGGCAGGCTGCTTCTGCTCCAGGGCCAGCTCCCTGCTGTCTGGCAGGCGGCTTGGGGGTCAACTCCAGACCCACAGCTGTGTTCCTGTGGGTCCCTATGATCTCAGGAGGCCTGCGGGAGGCCATGCAGAGATCAGACTCTTGTCTTCTGGGCAGAGTAGCCTGAGGAATCCTTTTTACACTGCCTCACACAGTTCTCACACTCACCCTCACACAATCATTCTCACGCCTGTTCACTCATCAGTTCTCACATACTTTTACACACTCACCCTCACTCTCTTGCACTTTTCACACACTCACCCTCACTTCCTCACTCCCACAGTTGCACACTTACCCTCGTGCCCCATCCTCATCCATGCATTCAGTCACCGAGTGTCATCCAGCCCCGCGGGGCAGAGCTGGTGTCCCTGCAGGGCCTTGGAGAACACCTCATCTAGCCAATGGCAATAGTCATTGCTGACACCTACCACTTGGAAGGTGCCACGCTAAAGCTCTAATGTGTGTCCTCTTATTTATTCCTCACAGTGAACTTGAGTGTAATCATTATTTACAAATAAGAAAACTGAGCCTCAGAGATACTAAGCTACTTGCCCAAAGCCAACAACTAGAACCTGGAAGTAGAATCCAGGCAGAACCAAGGCAGGATGTGACATGTCCTCAGACCTTCAGTTCTCAATGGCTGTGCCATTCTGCTCCCCTTGGTCTAAGCCCAGTGGGTGTCCCTGGGCCAACCAGGAGCCAACTTCCCCAGGCTCACCTTTCCCCATTCCTCCCCTGCCCTTCTGTGTTTCCTAGGCTGGTCCCAGAGGTAGAACATTATCCCCCTTAAAATATGAATGTCTGGGTCTCACATTAAGAAAAAAACTAAGGGTGAGGGTGGAGGGGAAAGCTCCTCCTTAGCAAGCTCAGAAGAGCAAGCCTCCAGGGCCTCCCCGGTGGTGCAGCGGTTGAGCGCTGGGTTGCGAAGCTCTCCGCAGCCTCTGCGGCGCCGGTTCGATCCCCGGCTGCTCCCCGGCCACCGGAGGAGGGTCCCACATGGCGCACAGACCTCTCCTGCCACCCTTTGCTCCCCTCAGCAGTGTACTTGGGTCCTTCTGCCTGCTCTGCTCCCCGCTCTGGCTCTGGTGAATTCGCTCACCCTCCGGCACTTCTGACTGTACCCAGTGCTTGTATAAACAACAAACAAAACAAAATAAATAAATAAAAACATGCCTCTTAAAAAAAAAAAAAAAAAAAGAAGAGCAAGCCTCCAGCCACTGGAAGGCCTTCCCTCGCCCCTTCCCCAGAGCAAAGCCTCTTAGCCAGCAGTGAGCCTTGAGAGTACACGTGGCGTGCTGTGTGGTGTCCATGTGTGTGACTCACTGCGCTAGGGGCCTTAGCCTCTGTCCACTTCTCAAAGGAGTCAGTATCCGAAAGAGGTGGAGACCACCACCCTCTAGGGCTCTAGGAGCAGAATGGCACAGCCACATCCTGGGAGCAGGGCTCTCCCAGAGGGCTGCCCAAACCCCTCACCTCACCTGAGTGCTGCCATCTGGTTCCCCTGGGGTGGAGGTGACAGACGTGCCACATCTCAGCTTCCAGCCTTTTCTCTGTGTGGACTTAGAGACGCAGCACCAACCGGGACCACTCGGTCTGAGTCCCAGATGGGTCCTGTGTGTGAGCAGAGCATAGCAGCAGCTCTGGAGGAGTGTCAGTGCTGAAATATGGGCAGTTCCGGGACCTCCCATGTGCTGGTGCAAGAGCCCAGGGCAGATGGCACAGCCCCTGATGGAGGTCCTCTCGGTTGCATGGTAACTGTGACATTTCTCCCTAGTTCCTGAGTCCTGGGCTGGCCACTTTCACATACCTCTGAGTCTCTTCTCTCAACTGAAAATACTTGAGTGCCCCCCAAAGAGAGAAGAGTCTCCCCTGCTTGAGTGAGCGCTGCAGGAAGTGCTCACCCTGCGCAGAGCACCCCCCCTTCTCTGGCCCTAACCAGGTGGCGCCCTGGCACTGTCCATCAGCCCTCGTTTTCCTCCTCTCTCCAGGGGTGGCCACTTACTCGGACAAGTTGTTCAAATTCCGCAATAACCGGTGGGAAGACATCCTGAGCGACGAGGTCAATGTGGCCCGAGGCGTGGCCAGCCTCTTTGCCGGGCGCTCTGTGGCCTGTGTGGACAGGACGGTGAGTTCAGGGGCCTTGGGGGGGCGCACGCAGTGAAGGCAGCAGGGTTGCCGACCGCAGGTGTCCAGGCAGTGGGGCTCTTGAAAGCAGAGCCCAACTCAGCAATGCTTTGCACGAAGTAGGTGCTTAATATTAAGACTTGCAAGATGAGGCACAATAGACGCTCATGTCCTTTCTCGTGGGCAGGCCCCAGCAGCCTGCAAGGAAGCTGACCAGGGGCTGTCATCGTCATGTCCACTGGACAGATGAGGGCCTCAAAGGCAAGCTTGGAGCAACACTGAGTGGGTCGCTATGACGAGGACACGAATCAGAACCTTCTAACGCTAACCCACGTGCTCCTTCATTCATCTAGTCGCCTAATACTTATAACTAATTGCCTACTGTGTGCCAGGCATTGAGCCCCAGGGCCCGTGTAAATATTTATGGAGCAAATTAAGGCATGACAAAGGGGCACGTGAGTGGGTGAGTGGGGGGGGTGGCCTGAATGTACAAACACTGGCTAATCAATAGCTCCCTCGGTGCTCCGTGCCCTGCCGGCCCACCCTCCCAAAGGCACCAGGCCCCAGAAACTGGGGAAGACAGGTGAGTGCTGAGTGCAGAGGGATAGGAGCAGCTGCCGCCGCCTGCCCTGTGGGCGCCCGGCCTGTGCCCCAGCAGTGCCGGGAGGCTGCCGTGGAGGTGATTTATCCCTCCTGTCACCTGCTCCCCTGCCGCCCCCTCCTTGGCTTTATAAACAGTCATTACTGAATCAGGGCCCCAGCTGCTGCCCAGCTTCCACAGAGCCCCACTCAGGGGCAGGGGCAAAGGGGCCGGCTGGTTTAGGAATGGAGATGGCACCAAGGGGATTGGGGATTCAGCGTGAATCTTCACAGCAGGGGCCTCCAGGCCCTGGGAGAAGGCAGGTGCCAGGTATAAATATTTATTTCTTAACAAGCTGGTGCTGAGAAGAGAAGCCAAGCTGGGCTGTGAAGCCACATTTAGCCCTGACCTGAATCTGTGCCACCTGGACTCCTGCCTGCCCTGTGGGAGGGGACGGGAGGCTGCTCTGTGTGTGTGTGTGTGTGTGTGTGTTGGGCGGCCGGTACCCAGAGAGTGGGGAGGGTCTGGGCAGGGCAGACCTCCCCACCAGGCCTCTTCTCACTCGCTCCCCTGGTTTCCTGTCTCACTCATTTAGGACCAAGTCTTCCCACACTCAACTAAGGTAGGAGCCTTCTCGGAGCTAGTGGGAGGGCTGTGAAGGTTAATCACAAAGAGATGCACTCTTTGTCCTAACAAGGTCACCTGCACACCTACGCACTTAACCATGGGACAAAGGCACCGTGTGAAAGGCAACAAAGAGACTTTGACACCACTGGCAGGCGGGCATGTAGCTGCTGGCTCAGTCCCCACTCAGTCCCAGCCTTCGGGGAATAGAACAAACCCCTCCAGTGGGTCTGCCACCAGGACAGGGGGTGCTTTCTGACTCCAGCCACCCCCTTGGTAGTCCCAGGCCTGGGACTTGCAGAGGGAAGGAGCAGGGAGCAGTTAGGGCCAGCTGGAATGTGCGAGATAGGAATTCAACATGTCAGGAAACACAGGAGCAATCATAAGCGTGCGAGCTAACGCTTCTTAAACTAACAGCAATGGAAGCCCTAGCCAAGTGGTTTCCTCCGTCACCTCACGGAAGCTTCATAATAAGACTAGAAAGTACACACTGTCATTACCCCCATTTTACAGACATGGAAACTAGTGCTTCAAGCAACGAAGCCACTTGATCCAGATCACATAGTAAGTGGCAGACAAAGCCAGGAACTGAGTCCCTCCTTCCTGAAAATAAATCAGATGAATTTTTACCCCTCGACTGCCCTGCCTCTGGGTAAACCAGTATCAGACACAAATTTCTAACCACAAGTTCTCTTGCAGCATTTATCCTACCCACCAGTCCCTCAGCCCCTACCTGGGGCCTTTTTAGCCTACCTGGTTTGTGGTTCTCAAAGTGTGGTTCCTGGAGCAGCAGCACCGGTATTGTTATAAATGCAAATTCTCAGGCTCCACCCACTGCACCCTCCAGACCCACGAATCAGAAGCCCTGATGGTATTGCCAGCAGTCAGGGGTCCTGCTAGCCTTGCAGGTGATGCTGATGCAGGCTCCGTTTGAGAGCCAAGGTACCAGGGAAATGTCGCCACCCCACCTCGCCGTTCTCTCCCTCTCCCCTTCCAGCCTGCACCTCTTCTCTACCCCAAACCCAGAACAGCTGCCTGCCTTTCATCTCCAGCTGCCTCATCACTCACCCACTTTTCTGGATCCCTCTCAAAGCCAATACCTTACAAGAAGCGCTCCCTGATCGATAATGATTATGCCTCATGTTTTAGCATTTTTATCTTTTCAAAGACCTTTCACATGTGTTGTCTCATTTCATCTTCTCGACAACTCTGCCAGGAAGCAGGGGGAAGTGATCCTCACCAACATGTGAGGTGATGAAGCCAAAGCAGGTGAAGAACCTGCCCAAGGACTTAGAGCTGGATGGGGGCAGAGCCTGGACCTGCAGTTCTCAGACTGTGGTTCTGGACACAAAGCATCAGCTTCACCTGCGGACTTGGAATGCAGATTCCATTCCGTACCTTCTGAATCAGAAACTCTGGGGCTAGACCCCAGCCTCTGCGGTTTAACAAGCCCTCCAGGTGATTCTGATGTAGACCAAAGCATGAGAACCTGTCCCCCGGACCCAAAGCTGCAGAAACATCTTCCTTCCCCTGGAACAGCTCATCCTGCCAGAATTACTATGGTCTGAGTTCACACGGGAATTTCTGCAACTTCTACAGCTGTAGCACATGTATGTTTGTCAGTTTTGTCACCCCAATACGTTGACATAAGGAAGTAGGTGTAGCCAAATTTTATAAGTATTCTAATGTCTAACAGAGTGCATTTCAGTTCATGTGGGCTTAATTGCCCATTTGTTGATGAGATTGCTAACAGCTGGTGGGGTTAGGCGCGCTGCAGTGATGGAGCACTTTCACCTTTGGCCTCATTCATTCACTCTTCATCCAATCATTCCACACATGTGGAATGGGCAAGAACCTCTCAGAGATCCCCCCTCATGAAGCCATGCTGTAAAGCAGTACATTGCAAACTTCACCTTTGCATAGGGAGCATGCTGAAGCCTTGTAAAAATGCAGCTTCTGATTCAGCAGATCTGGGTGGTGCCTGACAGCCTGTATTTCTAAAATGCTCCCGATAACACCAATGCTGTTGGTCCATGGACCACTTTGAGTAACAAGATTTGTAAAGCACAGATTCCTAAGTAGCCCAACAGAGACTCAGAAAACCAAAAAAGAAAGGGGAGAGGGGTCTTTAGGAAACAACTCTGTCACTTCCAGCTTTGCCCCCTTATGTCTTCTGCCTTGCCTTTTCCATCCAGAACCTGGAGGACCTGCTTGTGGCTATGTACAACATTCTCTGTTTCATCTCTGCTTGGAAGGCTCTTTCTCTCTAGCTTCCCCTGGCTGAGACTCCTCTTAGAAAACCTTTCTGACCTCCCCATTAGTGCCCCTTCTTGGGGCTAGGAGCCCCTCTTCGGTGCATCTAGAAAATCCTGTACATCCTCTCTTAATCACAACATATCATTCATTGTATGATCGCTGGTGTCTCTATACATCCCAGGGACCCCAAACCCCTTCGATGCTCTCACCCAACGAAATGATCCCTAAGAAGGAATAAAGTCAGTGACCAATTGGGTGGAATGGGAGGTCCCGCTTTTGGGGCCATTGGAAAAGAAACAAAAGCAAGAAAAGGCCCCCAGGACAGGGGGTGAGACCGTACATGCTTGTTTTGAGCTCAACTGTTTGTCTTGTGTTGTTTTGTGTCAATAACTTGCCTATACGCAACCTAAGGACAAAGACTTCTTAAGTACATTTACAGCAGAGTGCCTTGCACGTAGCTGGAGCGCAAGAAATATTTACTATCTAGTTAATTAGAGGGAAATGATGAAAGGATGAGAGGAAAACTAGAAAACTGATTTAGAAATCATGTGGATCTCTTGGGAGAAAGGAAGCATCCATTAAAGAAATAACATCATTGTAATAACAGACAGAAAAGAATCTTCCATTAGCAGTGTTTCGGACTAGAGAGTGACGAGTAAAGAGGAGCTGGTGCCCAGGGCTTCTCCTGGCAGCAAAGGGGAAAAAAAATTGAGACCGTGTTATAAAGGCAGAAGCAATATATATTTCTTTCTGGTAATATGGAGGAAATAAGGGAATGGAAGAGGGAAGGAGGCTACTGCATAGCTGAGCTCCTGAGCTACCAAAATAGAGGAATAAAGAAGTAGAGGGTAGGGAGGCGGGAGGGAGATGGCTCAGGGAATTTGCTTGTCATCTTGGCTGGAGTGAGCTTGAATGGGAGAGAGAGAGAGACTGAGAATAATGGGAATTGGTAGATCAATCAATCAGCAAATATTTATTGAGCAGCTACCCTGGCTGGCAGCTGGAGAGAGCTCAGCTGGAGGGAGGCACATTAGAAAATTGTCTATAAAAAGGTGGTTGTGGGGGAGAGGGAGGGCTGTGTTCTTCTGGAGCAGGAGAGGCAGGGCTGCTTTATTGTAGGACCCTGATTCCGGGGCTTCGTGCACTTTGCAGCCCCTGTGACAAGCACCTCTGGTGCTGTGCTGTGCACAGCCTGCGGGGCCATGGACACCAGACAGGGGGAGGGGAGACCCAGCCTCGGGGAAGAGCCATGGTCTTGCCAGAGGAGGGAAGAGCTGCTTTCTGGGGGAAAGACGGCCCAGAGCCCAAAGGAGTCTGCTCACCTACCTTCCTCCCCTTCTCCTCAGGGCTCCGGGCGCTACTCCATCTACATCGCCAATTATGCCTACGGTAATGTGGGCCCTGATGCCCTCATTGAAATGGACCCCGAGGCCAGTGACCTCTCCAGGGGCATCCTGGCACTTAGGGATGTGGCTGCTGAGGCTGGGGTCAACAAATATACAGGTATGCAGAGTGATGGGGGGGAGGAGAGGAGGGGACTGTGACCTGGGGGGCCAGGGCCCCACCCTGCAAGGTTGAGTCTGATCATCAGAGACCATGGGGAGGGTGGACTGGTGTCCCTGGGGAGAGAGGATGAAGGTCTTATTCTTTCCCGCCACCCACAAAAGACTCCAATGGTTGATGAGCTATTGGAGGAGTGGACTTTGGGGGGCTCATGGGGAACATCGAACACAGCTTGCCAGAAAGTGGGAGTGAGACCACCCTCACAGCCTCTCCCAGGAACCTCTTACCCCATTTGCTGTGGCCCAAATGATGGGTGAACAGGGTCTGTAGGAGAAAACTGACAAATCAGAAAGGCCAGGATTTAAAGCATTCTTTATTGCCAAACGGCAGATGAAATTATTTACTTACACATAAGCGGCCAGGAATGGAGCGCTAAATCCCTAAGCCTCGGCTGGGTCCCGTCTCAGATAACTGAACTCAAAGAATTGTGTTCTTGTTCCAAAATCTTCCCAATCCTTTTTTGAAGCTCCCCCCCCCGCCCCCCACCGCTGCCGCCGTGTCTTTCTGGTTGGAGGACCTATTGTCAGCGCCTCTGACGGGGAGATCTTTCTAGGGAAGGCTGTTTTTCTAATTCCAGCACGGCTGCTGACTAAACTCTGATAATCTGCCAATAGCCTGCTGATGGCAGAGCAATCCAGTTCCTGTTCGGGGTGCCAAAAATCAGGACGCCAGAGCTATGCACAACGCTGCTCACGTGACTTCACCCTCACACCCAACCTGCACTCTGGATGTAGCAATTCTCTCGGTGGTTGACCTCCCTGATATAACCGCCCCCACTCACCCATCGACAGCCTTCCGAAGGGACAGCCGGCCTGACTCGGAATCCTGAGCCGGAAGGTGATGGGTAGGGCCATTTGAGTCATCCCCCGCCCCCAGACACCTGGGTGTGGCATAACCTCAAAGTCCTGCCTGGAACGGGTTGGTCTCGGCCTCATGATGCCCTTCTCTAGCCAGCTTCCCTCCTCAATGGAAGGGGAGATTGATGATGACCTGTCTGACAAAGTTAGTGGGAACAAATGACTAGACAATAAAATAGTTTGCAGGGCTGCAGCCCCCTCAGAGTGCTCGAGAGCCCCACACCAGAGTGCAGCAGGAAGCCTGAGTGTCAGTAATAAACCATGTTTTCCCGGGAAAAGGAATAAACATGCAGGAGCTTCAGCCTAGATTTGTACAGTCAATTTTTCTGAATAGTTCCCAGTCCTGTGTGCTGGGCTGGCTTGGCAATTAAGTGCCTTGATCTGCGGAGAAGGAGGGTGGGCTGGGGAGATGAAGCACTTGAAAATGATGAGATGGAAAGGAGGCAAGGTCTGGGAGACAGGGTTATACACAGAATAAAAGAATTCAGAAGGTTGCGGCTGGGTTTGAGCATGAAGGGGACATTGTTCGCGCTGGCTGGGCTGGCAGAGGGGCTGGCGAGAACAGAGGAAGGGAAGGAGGGGCCAGGAGGAGGCAGCTGAGGAGCACGGACGGGGACGGGAGTACCAGCTAACCATGCCAGGCAGTGCTGGAAGGACGGGACAGCCCAAGGAAGGGACACAGCTTCTGTGGAGCGGCCAGGCAGGCTGGGGCAGCTGGCGTGCCCAGAGGACACGTTAGAGCAGCTTCTCAGACTTCCAAAAGCCATTTGGCTGAGAAGAACCTATTTGGCCCACCAAGTTACTATTCTGTCTGCCTGCCTTCTCCAGCCCACCCTCTCCCTGCCCGCCAAGTCCCCCAGCTACCCGGCAGCCCCCATTGTCATTCCATTAAAGACACATGGACATCTGGCCGGAAAACTAGCTGAGTGCCCCCCCAGGAATGGACCCCAAATGTAAAGGCCACCACACGGAGCCTGGCCTGACTCTGGGGTTCTGGCAAGCAGCCGCTGCTCAGTGCCATGGGGCATGGGAAGTGGGGGGAGTGGAGCAGGTAACATGGGGGGCAGCAGCTGGGAGGAAGTCAGGTAGAGGTGTGTTCAGAGACCCGCAGGTCCCCCATCTGCTGGCCAGACCTTGGAGACCCTCACTCACACAAAAGAACAAACCCTGAGGCCAGAGAGGAGAAGGGACTTGGCCAAGGTCACCCCGGAGGTTTGAGCCCCATCCCCTGATGCCTAAACTGCTCAACTAGCTGTCCTTTCTGCTGAACCTCAGCTCAAGAATCCTGCTCCAGCCAGGAGACAGGAGGGGCTGGTGAGAGAAGAAGGCCCCACACCCACCAGGAAGCTGCCTGGGGTTGTGTGGCTGAAGCAGCTGCCTTGCTGAGGGCAGCAAGGGGAGGCGAGGCCACTGTGTCAGCAGCAGGGCAGTGTGCTGCCTGCACCCAGGGCTGCCTGGCTCTGTTCAAGGGGGAGGGGAGGCCTCCTTGCTAGACTCCGTCGAGTCTGCCGGCGGCCACTGCTCTGCTGGGTCACAGTGCCATCTAGCGGCCAGTGTGCCCACTCTCAGGGGACTGGAGGGCCCCTGGAGGGCAGTCCAGGGAGAGCTGCTGGTGCTGAGTTGGGCAGTGAGAAGGCCCCACCCACTTGCGGTTCAGGGCTCCCGAAGGATCCCAAGCTCGGAACTCCCCAGCCGCCTGCAGCCCCCAGGAGCCGGACAGCGCAGGAGCTGCTCAGCATGGCGGTCCCGGTGGAGGGCCTGGCGTGGGAGGAAGGAGGGGAAGCTAGGGGCCAAGAGCTCGGCACTGCCTCTGCAGCGCCTCTGACCCCAGGGTCGGCCGTGCGCCCTCCTCCTTTCTGGGTGCCTGGAACTGGCTGTCTGGCAGACCCTCGCAGAGATGGGCTTTGGAGTTACACTGCCAGGTACAGATCCTGCTGCCACCATCCTCCTGTCTAGACAGCAGTGGGCAAATTCACCTCACTAGACCTCAGTTTTCTCACCTGCAAAATGGTTGAAAATGAAAGCAGACAAATGGAATGTGCCTGGCACAGGCCTGGCTCGCAGGCAGTGCCCATGGAGAGTGGCTGACACCAGCACCTCCTCTTTGGAGGTTCTGACAGTGATGCCAGGGCCGTCTGTTGGGCATCTCCTGGGTGTAGGGAGTGCCATGCTGGGTGCAGGAAGCACAAAGGTTGCAGGGCTGGCCCTGCCCTGGAGTTCTTCCCCCTGTGTCCCCAGCCAGCCCTCCAGCCCTGGGCACCCCTTTCCACTGGAATCCACCGCTGTCCCTGGCTTCTGCTCCTCTCCCCAGTGCTCTACATTTTGGCCTCACCCTTTAAGGGAGCATCTGTCCAGCTGCAAGGTAGTGATTAAAGAAGCCTTAAAAGAAATTTGGAAAGAAAATGAAGGTGGATTTATGATGTTAGGTGGGGAGTTTTGCTGTAGGCTGGGAGCAGTGTGGAACAAAGCAGAGGGCAGATCTGATTTATAGGAAGTCATTATTGGAGGAGACAGAGAGGCCTAAAGCCCAGCTGAGACCTCTGGCAGATCCCCTACCAGCCGGCTCAGAGAGGTGATGGGGGAGGGGGATGCCAGGCGGGGGCCACGGAGCCCCCTGGGTCCCCAGCAAGCACTGGTGGAGCAGGAGCACCACCAGGGCTGCAGGCAGGGCTGGCGTGATGAGTCGTCAGCCAGGGCCAGAGACCAGGGAGTGCCACCACGGGCTTTCCAGGGGCACCCAGAGCCCCAGAATACAGAGGGTATCCGATATGTCAGGTGATTGACAAGAAGGGACATCACTTTTCAAGATCTGCTATATAGTGCGGGTGCCATCTTGGTGTGCATTTTTTTTTCTTTCCTCTAAAATGAGATTTTAAAGAAATGTCAGGCCTGTTGCTGGCCACGCTGGGTCTTATCGAGAGCACAGACCCCTTCTCTGTCGAGAGGGGACTCTAGTAGAAATGTTCGAGTGCACACTCTGACGATAGCATGAGCCCTGGGGTCATGCTAACATGGCCTTAAACAGCGACCCATTGCCCCCCGGCTGACATCCTGCCTCTCTGAGCCTTAGTTTCCCCACCTAGAAAATGGCAAGGCACTGTGCCTGGTGAACAGGACCAAAGAGCTGGTAGACAAAAAAGTGGCTCCTGCCACTTCTTTACCTGCCTCCCTCCTGCCAGCTCTCCAGCACCCTCACTGCCTTGGGGGCACTTCCCCGCTCTCCCAGATGCCCCAGGTTTGGAAGTCGCCACTTGGCAGACAAATAATGGAGCCTGCCCCCTGCCCACCTGCCCATCAGTGTCCTGCAAGGGTGGCCCGGTTGGTTAGGTGAGGACTGGGAACGCCCTGGTCTAGCAGCCTTCACACTTGTGGCCTCGGGACCCTGCCCAGCATCCAGAGGCCACAGCAGCACAAACACAGGGTCATTCTGCTGCAAGTTTCAGGAAAGTTAGGATGAGAGACTGTTGCCATCCTGACCTCACCCTCACACCTGGTTCTCTGACACACACACTCGCCCAGTCCTCATCCTCTTTGTCTTCCAGCACCTTCACTACTCTCTCACAGTATCTTGGATGCTTGTGGCAGACTGCAGGCCTTGGGGGCCACCAAAGTCATATTTCTATCACCATCTCATTGGATGGCTCCCACAGGGCCAAGCTCCCTGGCCGACGGGCCTCTCCTCAGTGCCCCACAGCATGGACTCCAGATAGACCCAGGAATCCGCTCCCAACCACGCTCTTCTGTGGTGCAGCAGGGAGGAAGCACTGGGAAGCAGAGCTGGAAGGATCCCGGGGTATCACCCATTTTACAAGGAGGGAGACCACAGCCTGGAGAGCACAGTCCCCAAGTGCCTGCATCAGAGGGGTAGAGGCCAGGAAGGAGCCCAGAAGCTTCTCCTTAGCACTGTGCATGTCTCTGCCTCTTTGTCCTGGGTCCTCACGCCAAAGTTTGAGGTGGTTCACCAGAACATCCCCGCTTCCCTACAACCTGTTTTTCCCCACAAGCCCTCTGGGGAAATATACCATATTCCCCCCACCCCAGAGCTGGTCCAGATGCAACCTTCACCCAAAATTGGACTTGAGCCTGCGTCATCCAGTTGTGGGTGTGGTGGTCAGAGGTCTGGGGGTGCAGCTCTTAAAGGTAAGCAAGGCTGCCCTGTGGGACTCTGACCCAATGAGGAGATCATCAGAGGGGGGTGCCACAATGTGGCAGGAGGTAGAGGGAGCCCTGGAGAGACATTTCCCTCTGCTACTCCACCACTCCGACCCAGGCTGGTGAGCAGCTGAGAAGCCTTCAGGAAGGGATGGGCAGGAGCAGCATTCACACCCTACCACAGATCCAGGAGCCCTTTGAAGCTCAAAAGTGTGGGGAAAATAAAGGGATATTATTCACTCAGCAGGTGGGAAATAGTCCAGCTAATGACTATATGGCACCTGACATTTTCCAAGGTATCTTCCAAAAACCAATTCACTTAATATTTATGACAGCCCCGAGAAGCAGCTATTATTACCAGTCTCAGGTTACAGGTGAGAAAGCAGAGGCCCAGAAATGTTCAATGACGTTCCCAAGGTCACACAGCCACACGGTTTGAACTTTCTGATCCCTACTCTCCCACCTCCTCCTCCCCTCCATGCTGCCTCTCCAGCCCCAACTGAGGGAGGACTGGTCCCCAGAGGATGTGATGGCCTCAAGTAAAAGGAATTAATTGATGTCAACTGGAGGAAACTCCCTATTGGGGCCCCATTCTCCTAGGTAAAATAAAAATGCCCCTAACTGCCCCTGGGTGAGTTAAACCTTAGGAGGGGGCACAGCATGGGCGTGATCAAGGCTGGAAGCTGAGAGAGGCGGGAGCAAGTCCAGGTGGAGGATACTTGCCAATTTCGCGGCCTAGTCCTTGGCTGGCGGAGAGGGTGCAGAGGCGCACTCAGGATGCACTTTATTGATTTGAAGAGGACTTATATGACTGACCGGGGAGTAGTGTCCCCTATGGCACTAGCAAGGGGCCAGCCAAGGGCCTGTCTCCAGTCTCAGTTTGGCCCCTCATCCTGAGGCTGCGGGGTCCGGTGCCAAGAGGCCAGCTCCCCGAAAATCAACTCACCTGCTCCCCAACCGTGCAGGGGACTTGCCAAGAAGGAGTTGTGGGTAACATCTCTGTTATGGTCTGGTTGCCATGGCAATAAATTGTCACTAATTAGTAGTGTGGTTACCATGGCAATTTTCTAGTAATTACAGGTTACAAATGGTGCAAGGCTTCAACCCAACCCAATTAGTTAATTAGAAAGATTTAGAAATTTGTCCAAAAGGGAAATAACCTGCTTTGTAGAAAATGAAGGGAATGTGTCACAGCTCGGGAGCCAGAGGCAGAGAGGAAATTGGAGGATGCCAGAGTGGGGGAGGAAGGATGGAGTTGCATGGCACCCGGCTCAGCACCCCACTGGGAATTGTGGGGGCCCAGGCAGGGCCCAGGGGTTCTCTCTGGAGCCTGCCCCTTGGCTGGAGTCTAGCGGGCCAGAACAGGGCCAGCGGCGGCTCCACTTTCTAATGGGCAGCAGCAGTGGTGCCCAGGTTGCAGCCCAGCACCCCTGCTTGCTGGCTTCCAGAACAGGCATGGAATCCTCTCTGCCCCCTCACCGAGGCTCCCCTAATGAAGAGCTCGCATCACATCATGGTGGTACTCCCTCTAGGAGTGTGGGCTCAGCAGCTCCGTTTAAATGAGGCTTTCCGCACTCCTTGAGAGCTAATTAGATTACCTAGGAGGATGGACTAGGTGAACTCGGAGACAAAGGGCCCAGGATGTGCTAATGAGGCACCCAGCCAGGAGAGCAGTGAGAGGGCCAGTGTCACTTTCCCCACCCCAGTCTCTTGGCCCCAGGCCCCAGCCCTGGAGGGGTGGGGGCTCCATTTGCACAGGGGAGAAAGGCCCCAGGAGTGCCCCCACAGGCATGTCTCCTCTGACCAGAGGAGCCAGGAACAGACCCTCCTCCCATCATTACCTTAGCTGTTTTGTGGAGACCTCAGTCCATCCGCAAGCAGGCAGGAGGGGGCAGGCAGCAGGGGTGGGCGCTTGGTCCAGTGTGCTCGGGTCTGTCTGAGCTCTCATTTACTTCAAGAGAAAAGAAAGCAAGTTTTTTTGATAATCATTCTCTGACCAGCTGACCAGCTCTTCAGAACATCGCCCTTCGGGAGAGCCCCCCGGGCACCCTGCTGGAGTGCAGGCTCTGATTGGGTGGGGCCTCTTAGATGCCACACCCCGCCCCATCTGGTCCTGGGCCTGACTGTGAGTCAGGAGGTTGTAGGATTCGTCAAAACACTTCACAAATCTTTATCCTCTCAAAACCCAGAAGTGGAAAAGACAGCGCACACTGTCCCCATTTTACAGAAGAGAAAACTGAGGCTTAATGGGTTATGGAAATTGCCCAAGGTCACTAGTCTCATAAAAAGCCCTGCAGGGCCAAGAACTCATGTCCCAGTCCCGGACAAAGTATTTCCAACTTTTAGGGCGTGCTAAGGGACGACATCAGGGCTTTGATGCCCATCATTGGGAGGGGTTTGATCAAGACTGGATTGGGCTTGTTGACATGGCAGCTCAAGTTGAACTTGAACGTGTCTAACCCAAATGTAGAGCGGACTTGATTTCTTTCTTTTTAAAAAGTATATAGGTTACGAGGTTTTACGCATTTAAACTACAGAAGCAATCTTGTTGCAACAAGGGGAACAGCACAAAGACATTTCAAAAAAAATGTCACCTATCACCTCTCCTTTTCTCCCCCAGCCCTACCCCATCATGGTAGCCAGTGTGGGCAGCTCAGGGTGTGGCCTTTCTCACTTTCCCCCAAACTCAAGAACAAGCCTGCACAAACATGTCTAGAAATAGCACGAATTATTTTCCTGTTTTTTTTTTTTAAGATTTATTTATGCATGCAAGAACTGGGGTACCAGCCAGAGGTACAGGGGGTGAGAGGATTCAGAAGAGATAGAGTGGGGAGCAGAACAGGCAGATTGACTGAAATACACTGCTGAGGGGAGCAGCAGGCAAGACAGGAGAGGTCTGCTGCACCATATGAACAGCTCCCTGGCAGGCCAGGGATTGAACTAGTGCTACCAAGGCTGCAGATAGCTTCACAGTGCTGTGCTTAACTTCCTACACCACCAGGGAGGCCCTTCCTATTTTTTTTAATTAAAGTCACACAATGCCATTACTTGGCAAATTGCCTTTTCATTTAGCAATTTGTGGTGGGCCTGCCTCCTAGCCAATAACGTGACCTACACAGGTTTTTTTAGCTGCGGAAATGACCATCCTGTGGCTGCACCGTCATCCGTTCAACCAGTGGCTGGACATGCAGTTGTCCCAGGTGTTTGCATGTCAAACAAAGCAAAGTATGCATCCTTATGCCTCCATCAGGAACAAGTCCCTATAGGTGCTACAACAGCAAGTGACCGTGGTCTTGATCAGCGGATGTGTGGCCTGGGGTGGGGTGGGGGCTGTTGGGAATCTGTGACTTGGCCAAAATGTTATGGATTTAGGATTATCGTCATTCAGCTGCTGAGGCAAGGTCTGTGTGGCAGCCTTTATTCCTTCAGTACGAAGTGGCTGGATCTTGTTCCTCACCAGGCTCATCATCTTTTATGGAGACTGGAGCCTATATCTGGGCTCAGGGAAACCTCCAGAAAGTCGGGATTCCCCCAAGGCGCTTTTTGATGCATTTTTGAAGTTTCTCAGAGGCTGCCTCTGTCCTCCAAGGGGCCTGGCTTTGCTTCTGCCACTCAGAATAGGTCGGTGTGCTCTCCTAGGGGGCCGGGGTGTCAGCGTGGGCCCCATCCTCAGCAACAGCGCCTCGGACATCTTTTGCGACAATGAGAATGGGCCCAACTTCCTCTTCCACAACCGAGGTGATGGCACCTTTGTGGATGCTGCAGCCAGTGCTGGTGAGTAGAGCCCCCACCCTGGGTCCTTCGGCCCCCTAGACCCACAGGGAACTCTGGGCCTCCCTACCCACTCCAGGCCAGTCCCTACAAGCCTCGGGAGAAGTCATCCTCCAAACCACACAAGAGGACCTTGCTGGTCACCTGCAATTCCACACCCTCCCAGGCTCAGGCCATAGGGTGTGTTTGCTGCTGGAGGGGCAGGGTGGGGGGCCTGGAACTCCTGACAATCCATTTGCCAGCAAACAAATTGGCCCGTGTTCCTCTGTGTCCTGTTTGTGTCTTTCAGCATCAAGTTCCCCTTCCTAGCTGCCTCTCTCCATTCCCTGTCCCCACGTTTATCTTAAACATTCAGTTCCATACAACGACCATTCATCAAGTCCTTGCTAAGTTCCAGCTGTTGGTGCTATGAACTGGGGTGCTAGCCTGAATAAGGCTATGACCACCTAACCCCTCAACTCTCCCCACACACAACACACACAGAGGCACTGACATTGTATAGGAAGAGACAGACGAATAAACAAATGGCTATAATAAGAGCTGGATAAAATCCACACAAGGCTCCTAGTTCAGCTCTCCTTCTTTCATTTGTGCTCAACCTTCATCTACCTCAGGACCTTTGCACTTGCCATTCTCTCTACCTAAAGTGCCCTCTCCCCCTTCTCTGTCTGCAGAACTCCTATTTATCCTTCAACACTTAGCTCAGAGATTGCCCATGAAGCCTTTCCTGACTCCTTCTGTGCCACCTGTCAAGATTGGCACCCTCTCCTCCGCCTTCCACTGCCCTTGCATGCCCCTCTCCCTTAGGCTTCTACAGTGCTCCAATAGCTCATTTTGCTACAATGCTTGGCACGCAGTGATCACCCAATAAATTTTGCTAAATGATGGAATTGACACTTAATAGGTATGGATCTCACTAGTCTGTCCTTCAACTATTTCTCCCCTCCCATTCCGCCCCACCTTGCCAATGAATGGATGGTTTGATTTTGTCTCCTTCTAGGAGGTATAGAGACAAACTCTGGCCTCCAGAAGAAGAGGTGAGCAGGGATCTAGACACATAGATCAAAGGTCCTATAAGCTCCAGCCAGAGCTGACATTGGCATTAAGCCCTGAGCGAGTGCCCATCCACTCTCCATGATTTATAAGCACCTGCTTCCCCAGCTCTCTCCTCCCTGTTCCGATTTTGAACATTCACCTCCTTCTCACCCTACTAGTAGCCAGTGAGTCCCTCATCCTTGTCTTGCCCTCTTCTCCTTCTCTGGCATAGCTGAAGTTGGGAGGCAGTGCTCCTGGCCTGTCCTCCCTCCCAGCTTACTCCTCCTGGTGCCATACACTCTGGCAGCAAATTTTCTCATTGCTGAAAAATCATAAAATGAAGGGGAGGTGGTAGTGGAGAAAACCTAGAGGATTTGATAAGGTGTTAAAGAGATGGAAGCAGAGGTGAGCCAACAAGTTGGAGTGGGAGAAGGTATCAGGCGGGAGGAGAGAGGAAAGGTGTTAGGCCCGTAATTGAAAGTCAGAATGATTGCAGGGGTTTAACAAGACATGTCAAGAGGGCATTCATCACCCAAACAGATGCTGCTGTGAAATGCAGCCTGGCACCGATTATTCCCGTGAAAGGGAACCAGCTCCTTGTCAAGGTGCCTCGTAGATAGGAGAGAAATGGGCCAACACGGAAGGCCACTGACATTAGGGCTGGGAGTTTTGCAGAGAATTAATGGGGTATTAATCCTACAGGTTGGAAGCGGCCCCTATTCCTTTGCAAATCCCCTTCCTGAAGCCTGGGTCTAACTGCCTCTTCTCTCCCTGCCCCCGGCCTCCACTAGGATGCTCAACCTCCAAGTTTCCCAGAGGGCCCCACCCAGCTCCTCCTGGCTCCCATCCTCAAGATCTCCATATTTGCAGCTGGCACAAGCTTCCTGTGCCCTGGATTCTGGAATCCCCACACCCCATCCTATTGTCCTATGGCCCACCGCCCCAACTGCCTGATGACCGATGGCAATGTGCCCTCCAAAAGCACCACGCAGGTGTCGAGAGATGGCATCTGTGCCCTCAGGTCGTGCGTGATTTGAGGGAACGAGTCTGCTATGAGCAGATAGTTGGTCAGGCCATCGCTGCAGGCAAGCTGCCCTCCATCCTCCCCCAGGATCCGCTCAGTCCCCCTGGCCATTGGTGACCTGGGACACAAGCTTCTCTTCCCTGGCCTCACAAGGCACACCTTGGGATTCTCTGTCTCGGTACAGTATTTTCTCTGCTGTCACCAATATCCCCAGGTCACCACCAGCACCAGCATAGACACTACAGGTATCTATGATGACCAAGAAGGTGACCAAGAAGACAGTTCCTGACCTCAGAGAGCATAAGGTGTAGTGGGGGAAACCAGACACCCTAAGCAAGTAGACTGCAAAGGAACATAATGACAACGTGGAGGAAAAGAATAGAAGGCTGTCAGGGAGAAGAATGGGGAAAGGGAAGACCAGGGCCTGTTTCCATGGAAGTGATCAGGGAGGACTTCCCTGAGGAGGTGACCTTGTAGCTGAGAGAATAACAACCAAGAATCAGGGAAAGAGTACCCCAGGAGGAAAGTCACTGCTTGAACAAAGTCATAGAAGCTGGAAGGAGCTTGGTTCATTTGAGAAATTAAAAGAACACAGGGTGGCCAAAGGTTAGTGAGAAAGAGAAAGACCAGTTAAGGCAGGTAGAAGTCTTGTGCTACCCCTGCAGGAGTTTGAACTTGACCTGAGAGCACTGGGGAGATTGACCAAAAGTACCAATCAGCTTAATGTATCCCAGTGGCAGTATTGGGGTGACCGGAGAGGCCTTTAGTCCTCCAGAATTTCCACCATTCTCCCTCCCCCAAGGTACCCCAAAATGGAGCAAAATAGTGTGCTTGCTGGCCAGTACAGATAGAAGACAGGTTTCTGCTCCCCTTTGCAACTATTGATAGAGGGCTGTGTCACCTCCTGCCCCTCTAGAGAAATTCTGAGCAGGCCCTGCTGCTCCCAGGGAGTAGAGACAGTGAGGGGTTGCCCTCCCTGGGTGCTCCCATGGAATTCCAGCAAGGTGAGCGTACCTGCCAGGGGCTCTGCCCTGAGGGCTCTGACATCCCTCCCCAGGTGTGGACGATCCCCACCAGCACGGCCGAGGTGTCGCCCTAGCTGACTTCAACCGGGACGGCAAAGTCGACATCGTGTATGGCAACTGGAATGGCCCCCACCGGCTCTACCTGCAGATGAGCGCCCATGGGAAGGTCCACTTTCGGGTAAGAAGGGGCCTCTTCCTCCACTGTGAGTGGCCCTGGCGTGATCAGGAGACACAGCCCCGCTTGTGCCTCTTGCCAGGCTGAGAAGGGGCTTGTGACTCTGCAGAGCCTGGGGGTGTGAGGCCACAATGAAGGTGACATCTGGGGGATAATGGACGATGTCTGGGACATTCTTGACAAATGGGATAGGAGTGCTACTGGCATCTGGTGAGTAGAGGTGAAGGATGCTGCTAAACATCCTATGATTTCCAGGACAGCCTCACCACCAAAAAGGATCCAGCCCCAAATGTCATAGTGTTGAGTTGAGAAACCTGCTGACCCTTCCGATGGCCTCTTCCCAGAGCTCACAGGAGCAATAAGAATAATAATAGAGGCCCCATTTATCAGGTGCCTTCCATGTGCCAGGAACTGTGCTAAGCGTTTTACATACATTATCCCAGGCGTGCAATGCAGCAACCCCAAGGGGGCTATGTAGGTTTCCATTTTTATAGGATCAATAGAATAATAATGAGTTAAAGATCTTGAGGTCTCTTTGTTCCCCAGCTCTTTAGTCCCTGCTCAGCCCACCCTGGCCAGCTGGCCAGGCTCTTAATCAGCCTCATTACTGTGCCAATGAGGACAGCCTTCCTTCCTGGCCTCCCCAAAATAGGCAGCTCACCAGCTGTCCTAGGCCGGCTGGGCCTATGGAGAGGACCTGCGGGAAGAGGACGAGAGACAAGGCCGGGCCGAAGGGCAGAGGGGCACACCCAGAAACACCAATGGTGCCTTCCCAAGCCCTCTCCGGAAAGACCCTGAGATTTGGACAGGTTCCCGGGGTATTTAAGAGGCAAATCCATCGATCATGGATATTCTGCTAAGAAACAAAAAGGTCTCCGTGCACAGTTCTCTTTCAGAGGAAAGTCCCACACCTGGGGCCTTTGTCCACCAAGGCCCTGTCAGCACTATGTGGTCCCAGCTGGGCTATCTTGGGGCTGAGGTCTCCCCAGGAGACCTCAAAATAAATGTCTCAAAAAAAGGAAAATATCAAGATTTCCAAGAAACACTGCAAGGTTCTAGAGGCAGCAACACCACATCTGAAGGCATCCGCGGCTGCCTTCCGTGACTCCAAGTGCAGGGCCAGCCAGGGCAATGCAATGGTGGAGGCTGTGCCCATTGCGTGCCAAGCATTTTACACACAGTCCTCACAACCTGGCAGCTACTGCTACGCACTCCTTGCTGATGAGGAAAGCGAGACTCCAGGAGCTGAGTAACTTGCCTAAGACCACACAAGCTAGTCAGCAGAGAAACCTGGCTCCAAATGCACAGCACCTCCCAGTGTCCACCCCACTTCGAGCCTCACCGGGGGCCTGGAAAGGGCACAGCATCTGGAATCAGACACCCCGACTATGGCCCCACTCATCAGCTATGAGTGCGAGCCACACCCCTCCTCCTCCGAGGAGGCCTGGGAATGGGGATGCTAATGTCTGCCCTGCCCCAAGTTACCGACAGGAGGCCTAAGTGTGAGCCAAGCTAGGAAACAGCAAAGGCTTCACGAGGGTGACATGGGACCATTCCTCTTCCCCCTTGTTTCCTCAAGCGGCCTCAACTTCATGTGGTTCTAATCACAGCCCTCTCACCCCCCACCCCAGGGCCCTGTGCGGCAGGTGGGGAAGGAGGTTCAGTTGGGCTGACCTTGACCTTTGCAGCATCACATGCACGGTGGGGAGCGCCGGCTCTCCCACCCCCACCCCCACATTGTGCATCTGCCCGCTGACCTGCGGCCTCTCTCCTCCCAGGACATCGCCTCACCCAAGTTCTCCATGCCCTCGCCTGTCCGCACAGTCATCGCTGCTGACTTTGACAACGACCAGGAGCTGGAGATCTTCTTCAACAACTTCGCCCACCGCAGTTCCTCAGCCAACCGCCTCTTCCGGTAGATGCTCCAGCCTGGCTCGTAGCCGCTCACTCGGAGCGTCTGGGAGTCAAGGAGGGAGGTGTAGGAGACAGAAAGGCTTCCTCCAGGAGCTGAGGTGGAGGAGGGTCCCCTGACGAATGGACAGAGAGGAGGAAAGGACAGGGATTGAGTCAGAGCCTGTGGGATGGAGGGCAGGTCCTGGCAGGAAGCTGGCCTCCTGCTGTCTTGGGGACACCAGGCAGAGGCACACGGCCCAGAGTGTGGCCAGACACCGGGGCCCACAGAACAGAGTCCACATGTCCTTAAAAAGGGCGTCCAGAGTCCACTCTGGGGGCAGCTGGGTTATACAGAGGCAGGAGGGGTTATTGCCTGCAGGACTCCTCAGAACCTTTAACTTGGCCATGAGCATCTTTTTCCAAAGATAGATAAAATGTTCAAATGGACTTGACCACAGACACCGCTTTCAAAGGCCTTCCACTTGGGACTGGTGCTCTGCAGAACACCCCTGGGGATGTGCTGCAAGAGACCAGCGGTGACAAGGGGAGGAGAGTCACAGCCCGCGGGCTTCTGGCCAGCTCCTGAGTGGTGTCCAGGTGGAAGGGCTGGATTTTCAGAGACAGTTCTTCTCTTCGAGGGATTAGGAAACCTCTGGCATTAGAATCACCCAAGTGCTTTTGGAAGTACAGAATCCTGGTGCCCTCCTGCCTCTCCTGAGTCAGAATTTCAGGGGTGAGACCCAGGAATCTCCATTTTTAACAAGTGCACTAGGCAGCAGATGATTCTCAACAGGTTCAAGAACTGCTGTTGGGAAACAAACTTCAGACCCACGTGGTGTGAGCTGGTGCTGAGCTTGGTCTAAAACATGCCAGTGGGTCTTGAGAGCAGGTGGGGAGAGGTGGGTGGATTCAGGAAATGGGCCAGATCACCTGCTTGGTTCCTCAGGGCCCCAGCCCTAGCCCCTCCCCCAGAAGGGCCCCAACTATTAATAAAAGGTGGGAGCTGTGACTAAGGGTGTTTTAAAATATAATTATTAACAAAGCATCAATCTTGACTGGATATAATCACCCCCCAAAGGCACCAGATTTACTAATTAGGTGCCTTGCAAAAAGCTTATTCACAACTTTCAGATTAATTGCAGAAGATCAATTGCTCGTTAACAGAGACACTGCTTTCCTGCTCTGGCTAATAAAGTGTCACTGCCAGGACCTCTGAGCATCTAGGAGTCTAGTGCTCTGGTGTCTGCGGCCTGAGAGCCCAGCCCCTCTCTGCACGCCTGCCCAAGCCTCACTGTTTCCCGCTTACCCCCACCCCCGACTGCAGGCGGGCCGGAGACCATTGTCCCTGGACAGGTGCCCATGGGGGAGTGTTTGCGCCCACACCATGGCAGTGGAAGCCACTTCCCAGCTACATGTCTGTGCCCCCAGTCTCCATGGCAAATGGCTGGGTCCAGAGCACACAGCGGAGGGTGCGAGGGGCTGCAGCTGGGCCACCTGTCGGCTGTCTAGACGTATAGCCCCACCTGTCCTGCACCACACAGGATTTTCTCCCGTGCTGAAGGGCCCCTCACAGGGCCACCAGGAACACAAAGCCTCAGGGTACCTGAGTCTGCCCTGATGACGTCTAGGGCAACAGGAAACTCATTGCCCCAACAGGACTTACCAAGCATGAGAGGGACCTGTCAGCAGCAACAGGCGTGTGCAGACACTCTCCCGAGACGAGCACATGTCCCGCTGACCCCTCCAAACACGTTCTGATCTGTTCTCTTCTCTGCATCCTACGCCACGCCCACTCTTCCTGCGGCACCACCTCAACCTCCCTGTGTCTAGTCCCCCAGAGCAAGTTGCTGAAAATTCGAGTCTGACCACACCCAGTTCCACCTGAAACCCTTGATCAGCTCCCCACTGTCCTCTCCTGACATATCCCACAGAGCCTGGCATTGTCCCCAACCTCATCACGCTCCAGTTCCCTTCTATACCTAAGCACCTGACACCCCAGCTTCCTTCAATTCTGGGCTGGGCCAGGCTTGGCCCCTCAAGCTGCCCACACATCCTCCCTCCCCTCGTCTGAGAGACACAAATTCACTCGTCATTCTGGCCCAGAATGACGTCATTACGTGGCTCCTCCTCCAGGCCTGGTCACCCAAATCTGGGTGAGAGTGCTGAGTCCTGTACCCCCTCAGTCCCACTCTCCCTGTAGGCCTTCAGCACTCTGAATGGGGTTCCCTATCACCATGGACCCTGAGCTCTGGCCTCCCTGGTGGGCACCGTAACCAAGGTCCCCACACGGCACCCGGCACACAGAAATTGCTGCAGAATTTGTTCAGCAAATATATCATCACGGTGGAGCCCTAGGCTTTATCCTTAGGAGCCCTTAACGGCAGTGGCCCTGAGGCCGTGGGTGTCTCTGCCCAGCTGTGGCAGAGTATACAGGGCTCAGGTGATCAAAGGAGCCGTAGGTATTGACAGGCTAAGGCATCTACACCCCTAGCAGGTGGGCACATGCCCTGGCACCACAGGACATGGTACCCACTGCCCAGCCTTCGCAGGCACATGGTCAGCACAGATGCCCCCTGTGGCCAGAGGAGACCACCCAGCATGTCTGTCAGTGCTGCAGACACCCTGTGGCTGTGCCAGCGCTCCTTGCCATGTGCCTCTGCAGACTCCAACTCAGGGGATTCACCCCCCCCCACCCAGAAAGCCCTGGTCACCTCACAGCCTTCTGGTGACGCTCTGTGACTTGGGTAAACAGTAGCCACCTGAGAGGGTGGAGAGGGGTACAGAGCCCTCCTGGGCCTCCGTCTGTCCCTGACATTGCTCCACACATCCTGGGCAGAGCCCCCAAGGCTAAGAGAACCCAATGAGTGAGGAAAAATGAGAGAGGGAAGCTCCACCATTAGCATTTGGTTCTGTGTGGAGAAAGAGCATACCTTTCACAGTGGACTTTTCTGAAGCAAATGTTACCACAATTCAGAGTTCAAAATAGCAGAACCCCTGCAGCCCCAAGGGCCTTCCCTCCCGCTTGCCTCTGGAATTCATCCATGTGTCCCACAGACATGTGCTTGGAGCTCTCTGAAAGCCAGGCACTGTGTTAGATGCTGCGGAAGATGCAAAGATGAATAATACATGGTCCCAGCCTGCAAAGAGCTCACAGTCTAGCTGGGGAGATAAGTTGCTTTCATACAGAGCTTCAACACAAGGCAAAGTGATAAAGGCCAGCAGAGAGATAAAGACAGGGTAGGAAAGCATTGCTTCTCAAAGGACGATCAGGGAGGGTGTGGAAGAGGTGGCATTTGAGTGGGGTTTGAACCTTGGGTAGCATCCAGAACTCAGAAACCTAGGGCCGCTCAAGGGAAAGCGAAGGTCAGTTGAAGGTGGCTGTGTCCCTGCCCCTTCTCCATCCATCAACTGCCCTTCTCCGGCTGTCTATAACTCATCCATTAGAGAAGGAAAAATCAATATTTACCAACGTAAATTAAAACCCAAGAAGGGAACAGGCAGGGTCTGTGAGCAGAGAGGCTCTTAGGCAACCCAGTGGCAGCCCAAACACAGCAGGCCCTGGGGGGCTCAGGAGACAGGAATGAGGGAGTGGGCCTCTGGGTCCCACATTTCCTCAGACCTGAGCCAAGCCTGTCTCCTCCCCTGCAGCGTCATCCGCAGGGAGCATGGCGACCCCCTCATTGAGGAACTGAATCCTGGCGATGCGTTGGAGCCTGAGGGCCGGGGCACAGGTGAGGCACCTGAGGACTCCCACTGGCACCCCCGTCAGCTCTGCCCATACCTAGGGTGAGGGTGGACAGGAGGGGGCGGCCAGTCCCACAGCAGGCTCCACCTGTGCCTGCAGGCCTGCAGCTGAGCATAGTGGTGGAGGCGCCCCTAGGGGCCAGGCAGAGCAGGCAGGAAGCAGAGGGGCTGGTCCACTGAAGCCAGGGCCTGGGATCTCCGGGCTGTAGCTTTCTGGCCAGGCCTGATGGTGGGGATGGAAAGGAAGGTGTGACCTCTCCCCTCTCCCACAGGGGTTAGAGAAACAATCCTGAGCCAGGAGTCCCAAGACGCAGCCCTGCCATTGTCTCACTTCTGATGGTGGAAAAGTTGCTTCATCTGGGTCTTGTTCTCCACGTTCATATAATGACATCTGCCCTCCTCAGTTGTCTGGGGTGTAGTAAGGACCAAAAAGGGGACTATATGCACACAACGCTTTATAGATTGACAAAGTGCAGGTCTAAAGGGCAAGTATAATAGAAGAGAGAGAAGTCCTTGTGGCCTGTGTAATTTGCACGCATCCTCTCTGCGCAAAATCCCGGGGAAGGAAAGGGAAACCCTGTTTTGCGAGTTCCGATCATGAGTGGCTGTAAGAAAGGAGAGGCGCAGGCTTCAGGCCCCAACCGCCCTGCCCCAGCTGTGTCCTTTCTCTGCCTCCCACACTCAGGGCTGTGGCCATGGCACTGGTCCTGAGGCCCCTCCCGGTGGGTCTCCTGGTCGATGGCCAGAGTGAAATCTGCGTTGTTGCAGGGGGCGTGGTGACGGACTTCGATGGAGACGGGATGCTGGACCTCATCTTGTCCCATGGGGAGTCCATGGCTCAGCCGCTGTCTGTCTTCCGGGGTAACCAGGTATGCATGGACCTCGGGACCGTGGAGCCCAGCCCGATGTGCTCTCCTGGGTCCAGGGAGGATGAGGACAGAGGAGCTGGGGTGCTTGCTTGACCACTGTGGCGGGAGACGCACATCCTCAGGCCTGCTTTCCACCGCCAGAGCCAGCCTCCGCTTCTCCAGCACCTCTTCCCACCAGCAGCCAAGCTGTCCTCGCTTGGGCCTTCCTGCCTGGCTTCCTCCCCTCTCTCTTTCCTGGGCTGTGCCTTCTGCTCTTTCGTCCCTTCCTCTCCACCTGCCCCTGCCCCTCCGGCTGAGCCAGGCCATCTTCCTTCCCTCGCCCCACAGGGCTTCAGCAACAACTGGCTGCGAGTGGTACCGCGGACCCGATTTGGGGCCTTCGCCAGAGGGGCGAAGGTCGTGCTGTACACCAAGAAGAGTGGGGCCCACCTGAGGATCATCGACGGGGGCTCGGGGTACCTGTGTGAGATGGAGCCTGTGGCCCACTTTGGCTTGGGTGAGTCAGGACCTGGGGAGACCGTGGGTTTAGGGGGAAATAATCTTAAAAGGCTTCCAGAAGAGGAAAGGTAATAATGGAAAAAATGTTAAGAATCTCCAGGGGCATCCAAGAGTGTCTTTACTGAGCCATCATGGTCAAGAAAGCATGTGAGTCAAATATCCCCGAGTTCAAAATCCTCCCACCCTTGAGGTGATAATACTATTAACAAAAAAGGAATAGGCAATATGATCTCAAAGTAATAAATGCATATGTATATGTTAATATTATACGCACATCATATGTGCAGAGAGAAAAAGGAAAGAGAATGCAGAAAGTGTGAACAGCGATTCTCTCTGAGCAGCTGGATTATTATAGCGGCTCTAACTTGTTCCAGAAACGCTGGCTCTTTACTCTTGGTACATCACTTCATCCACCTGACTACCCTGTGGGACGGGTGTCATTTATCCCCATCTAACAATTGGAGAAACTGAGGATCAGAACAATTCAGAAACCTGCCCGGGTCAGGTGATAGGCACATAGCAGCTCGAGGGCCCAAGCCCAGACCTCTCTGAGTGTCTGGTTTGTACTTTCTCCTGTATGTGTGTTACTGTGTTTTTCAACTTTTACAGGAAACACATACTCTTTGTGTAGCCTGAAGAAGATGCAGAGATATTTAGAGGACCCAGGGCCTGGTTATAGGAACACGTTCTCAGGCTATTTTGCACTGAGTAGATTGGCCTGCGGCTGGGGGGTCTATCGCTTTTGAGGACAGCCATTTGCTCTGCTGACCCGAAAGTCCAAGATGACATTTAAATATGCAGTCCTCTGGCAATATAGCAGTAACTGCACTAACCAAGCACTAACTTTGTGCCAGGCACTGGGCTAAGTATTTTTTATGGTTCCTTATTCAACTCCCAGTCCAACATGATGAATCAGGAATCCTGACCCCCATTTTATAGATAAGAAAACTGAAGCTGAGGCCTCCTTCACAAAGGAGGCCCCAGTGAGGCTGTTCATGGTATCCTAAGTAGGCTGTTGATCCAGGTGTCTGGCTGGACACCAACACCATCCCATTCTATACATAAGGAAGTTGAGGCTCACATGGCAAATCAATGGCTAGGCCAGGACTGAGCCGGGTTCTCCTGCCCCATATCCCATGGTCTCCCTCTTCTATTTTAAGACGCATGTCATGTGCCTCAAAAATTGTTTTGGGTTTGAACTCTGCCTCCAATTGCCCCTAGGTGCCCCCACAGGCTCCCCTCTGCTACCACTTCCAGAGACACACTGAGGAAGATGCCCTGCCCCTGCGCCTCAGCCTTGGGCCTGCAGTGAGATGTGCTAAGGGACCCATCAGGCAGCTGGGCCAGCAGCCTAGAACACAGCCAGGGGCGAGGGAGGGGAGTGGGTGGGTACTCCAAGCTGTGGCCCCAAGGCCCCTGCATCTAAACCCAACAGCATCTCCTCCACGATGGAGCATAGCACAGGCCTCCTAACTGGTGCAGGTGCCAACGATGGGGAAGGAAGCAAGAAGCCTGGGGAAGGCTAGATGGAAGGATTGAGAAAGAGACAGTGGGGAGACAGGCAGAGACAGGAGCTGGAGGCAACCAAGAGACACAGAGACAGAGAAACAGTTAAGGCAAAGAAGAAACTCTTCCTTCCCTCCAGTCCAGGCAGGGAGGTGATAGACACAGGGACTCTCCTGCAGGCAGGCAGATGTACACGCGCCATCATGCTGGCCCAGTGTCCATGAAAGCCCCGCGCCAGGGGAAACAGTTCAGCTCCCGGGGCAGCTTTCCCACGGAACTGGGACTGAAACTAGGTCTATTGGGAGCGTGGGAGTATGGAAGGCGAGCACGGGGGCTAGGGGAGCATTCGGAGGCTGCAGGCTTGCACCAAGGCCCAGAGATGGGTGGGGTGGGAGATGACACCCCCAGAAGAGAGAGTCCTATAGGAAGAAGCTCGAGCACTCTGCACAACAGAGTCCTGCCTGGGGCGGAGGGAGCAGAGTCTGGAAAGTGAGGCCAGGGCCACACTGTTGAGGACACCCCAAGCAGGCTGGGCAGGAGGAGCAGGACAGCAGGAGGGGCAAAGAGTCACAACAGGTGTGGCCGTGCCAGGGCAGGGCTGCAGAAGAGCTCCTGCAAAGGGTCCTCCTGTAAACAGGGCCAGCATCCCGGCACCTGGGAGCAGCAGCAGTTGTTTTTAGGCCTTATTTTTTTATGTTTTTTTAGTTGTAAGAATAATGCATACTGATTCTAGGAAAATTAGAAAATCCAGCATTATTTTTTTTAAAAATCAAAAAAGAAAGTAAAAATAACCTGTAATCTCACCACTATGTTTGGAATATTAAGCAAGATGTGAACATTTCTCCCTCCACCCTCCCCCAGTGCCATCTGATCCATCCATCCAATACATATTTATTGAGCACCTGCTAGGTGCCAAACGCAAGTGCAGGTTCTTGCCATGAGTGGTCTTACCTGCCAGTGGAAGGCAGAGAAGCAAGGAATACAAAATAAACTAATGAATAGGTATAGCCCTGAAGTGCCCGAAGATGTTGAGTGCTAGGAGGAGAAAGCGCAGAACAGGGAAGGGGGCTGGGGGTGGGAGGGGAAGGAGAAGGAGCAGCTTCAGGCCTCCTGATAGGATTTTATGACATGCATCCTCATCGGAGCACATTTCCAGGCATACACTCCTTGGGATTTTTTATGATAAAAATGATTATGTGCTTTCTACTATTCCCACACTGGCATTTTCTTCTCTCTCTCTCTCAACACCGTACCCTGGACATCATTCCAAGTCTGCCCCTGTCTCCACCATGTCCCGGCAGCGCTGCACGGGGTTTCAGGCATTATTTATTTAGTCAGCCCCCCAATGACAGGCAGTGCAGTGGCTTCCCGATCCTGAGAAGTCTGTTCCATGGGGTTTGGGGGGAGAAGGGGCATGTTCAGAACATAAGCAAGGTGTGCCTTGGCATCCCAAGCCCCTGAAAAGCAGATGGAGTGCAGGCTGTGCAAAGAAGGGGCAGGGGCCCCCCGCAGGGCCAGTTTGGGTAAGTTGGGCTGTCCCCCGAGCAGCGCTCACAACATCCGGACTCACCCCAACTGGCCCTGCATCCCTCCTCCCTCCAAGATTCACCCCTGCCTCCTCCTGACTTTGCAGAAGGTGTGGTGAGAGCAGATGAGTCTGTGGGTGCACATACGTGCCCCTCTTCCTTTCCCCAGGCACGGCTTCCTGCTCATCTCCATTCTGGCTGGAGAGCGCCTCCCGGCACTGTAGACACTGCCCTGAGCACGGAGCAGCCTCCAGCCTCTCAGACCGCAGTGGAGTCCCGGCCCAGAGGTCGAGCTGCAGTGCAGTACAGTAAAAACTTGGGGATCTTGTCAGATGTTTGCTCTCAGGGGCCCCCAGAGGGCCCCCTCTGTTGTGCAGAGTGCTTGAGCTTCTTCCTATAGGACTGTTTCTTCTGGGGGTGTCATCTCCCACCCCACCCATCTCTGCTTAGTGGAGCCCCAGGTTTTGCTGCCCCCTCCACCCTGACCTTTCTCTGCTCCTCCAGAGTGCAGACAGTGCCACGCTCATAAATTAACATTTCTGCTCCCAGTCTTTGGTGAGTGCCCCCACATACCTGTTTACTCAAGCCGCACCTGCGTCCCTAGCCCTGCATATCCCACACCCTGGCTCGCCACATCCTGGCTGGCAGAGGGCTAAGGCAGCTCAACCAAACCCAGAAAGTAAAAACAAGCACCAATAATCTGCTATCCCCTGCCAGCCCCACCCGGGTCTCACCCACTCAACCAGTCCACCCCAAATATTGCCAACTGCCCCCACATACACGTACCACCTCCCTTTCAACTAATTGTTAGCTCGTGACTCAGAGCTGCCTCTAAGCTGGCTGGTGCTCACTTAGGGAAGGAAAATTCAGTGGCCCACATAAAAATGGCACTATTAAAGTGCAAAAATATTCCACCAACTGTATTCCCACCATCTGTTTTGCTTGTAATTCTTCTGAAAAGCACAATTTTCTGTGCCTCCCTGGCCTTTGTCCTTTCAAAGCTGCCAGAAGCAACTCTGCTGGCTTGACCTCACGTCTGTGCTGGTTAGCAGGGCCTCCTCTGCTGGCCAACCACTCCCTGTGCAAGGCCTGGCAAAGGGGCAGGCAGCCACTGAGCAGTGCCTAGGAGCCAGGCCTGCTCATGTGGCCGCGTGAGACCCGAGCCCTCTGGGGCAGAGGAGTCACCTGGCCTGGGGACGGGCGCCTGGGCTCCCCCAGTCCTAGCTCAGACGCCTGCACGCCCCTTGGGCCTGCCAAGCTGGAACCAAGACGGCGACTGCACTTGCCAGGCTTAACAGCCTCGCTCTGTCCGTTACCTGCACGGACTCAGCTCCTCGGGACCGTCTCTCCTTCCTGCTGAACCCCACACCCTGCCCGTGTGGTGCTTGTTCCCAGCCGGGCCGGGCAGGGTGGGAGGTGGGCAGTAGGACGCAGGATAGTAGCTGTGGGCTTTGGGGCCAGAGGCTCCCTGGTTGGGTAACTGTGGGCAATTCACATCCATCCCCCAAGTCTCTAAATTGGAAATTATAAAACAAGTTCCTTCCTCGAGGTGCTGCCTTAAGGTGCCAGTGCAACACCGCAGATCACCTGGTGGGGCTCGGGCTACAAATTCCCTAGTATTGTCGCCAACAAGTGAATGAAGAAAGCCCCTTGGGAACGGCCGGTGCCCCCACATCTAAGAGCCGGTGGGATAAATGCCGAGGGTACAGCACCAGGCCGGGCGGGGCTCACATCCCAGGGAGGAAGGGCTGTCCTTTGTGGGTGTCCCGGAGCTCCAGTCAACACCCCATCTACAGACGAGGAAGCCGGGGTCCCAGCGGGCACCCAATTTGGGGAGAGAATCCTGCTGAGGAAACCAGGGCTTGCTTGGGTGCTGGGTGTGGAGGAAGGGAGGAGGCAGGCGAACGCAGGAGGAGGCGGCAAATACAGGATGTAAATTTGTGATTGTCTATGAATATTCGGCGTCTCTTTTGAGTTATTTGTGGCACTTCAGTCAGGCTGGAAAATGTATTCATGTAGCTGTTCTGTTGGCTGAGGTGAGAAACATTTGCTTTCCTTTGTCTCCTTTTTTAAATGGAAAATGTTTACTTTTTATGTATGCCACTTTATTTGGCACCGCACACCCTAAAAATGCCAGATCTCTTGAACTTCAAGACACTCAAGATGGAAAAAATTTCTGTAACAGACACCCCTCGCTCCCATTTCCACACCCTCCCCCAAAAGAAATGATTGTAGAAGGAGGGAGCGGGGGGTGGGGGTAGGGGGTTATGAGAAATATTTCCTGGCTTAATAAAGCAAAACTCAGACCCAGTCAGTGGCCTGGAAGGGGTGAATCTCCATGGGATGAGAAGTTGGCCCTCGCCCTGGTACTACTTCCCTCCCCCGCCCCAGCCTGAGGAGGCAAAGGCTGCTCACCTCTGACACTTCCAGTGTGTGACAGCTGGTCCCTGTCCTCATTAACTCACAGCACAGCGGCAGCAAGCCTGGAACATTCCAATGAGACTTCTCAGAGCTGGGGAGGGAGGACTTGGGTTTGGGGGAGGTTTGGGTATAAAACAAAAGGGAACCAAACTCAGGGAGGATCAGGATGCGGGTTGAAGTGGTTCACCAGGTGCAAGCTCCTCTGAAATCCCCAAACGGACATCCGGGATCTCTGGGAAGAAGCTGCAGCTGCCTCCTTCCCCACCGTGCTCTTAGCACCCACCCGCCATAGAATCTGCACAGGGGAGTCCCCACAGAGCTTCTTCTCAAAGTCTGCATGTATCCCTTTTCCAAAATAGGGGAACCCCTTTATACATGATGATGTTTCACAGACTACCCTTTTCCCCCAGGTGGCTATCTTTGTCAATCCAAGGATGGACGTAGTAACCAAAAGCAGACTCTCAAGTTAACAGCAAGGTCTCAGCTTCACTTGTTTTCTAGCAGAATCTATATACATCACAGTAAAAGGGGCACATGTGCTGACAGGTCATCTCTTCAGCCTATAAAGGATGCTTGTGGGGTGTACAGGTGTGTGGGCTCCTGAGTAGTGGGCCTACATATGCTCAGCCATGGTGTGAAATAACAAGGGGACTGTACCCTCTCTTACCTGTGCTGAGTACAACCTCTTTCCCAGGTGAATGACAAGGAGAACAGCCTCTCCCTGCAGGGGAGGATCCCCCCACCGCCCCCTGCCACCTCAGTTTGTCACTATTAGCCTGATCTTGCCATAGTGATGGGCCTGCCTTGCAGGGAGCCCGGTGCGCTTTGACAATGCCTAACACCTGGTACATCTTTCCAGCCTGCTTTCTGCCAACAGCGGAAGGCATTGCTTTGAGGATGGATTCACCATTAGGGAACATCTCAGCTTTGCTGAATGTTCTTTCTCCTGTGCCCTCCACCTTCTAGCTCTTTATCACCGCAGCTTTTCATTGGCATGCAACTCAAATGCCTTCTGCCCAGGAGCCTGTCCTGGTCAGTCTGAGTAGACAAGGCTGATGCTTCTTTGCCCATTGTGCTTTGTTTTCTTTACAGAGCTTGGCAATATCTGACACCACTTATTTGTGCATCTGTTTGCCTGTCTAGCCCCACTAGAGCGGAAACTCCCTGAGAGCAGGGACATTCCCAATGACAAAGGAGAGCCTGGTCCCTCCCAGGCTGTAAATATGAATATGGGTAGGGATATAAAAATGGACATAAATAATCTAAAAATAAACATAAATAGGACTTTCATGAGACTCCATGCAAGTCAGCGGCAGAGCTGGGATTTGTCTCCAACTGTCCCGGAGGCCAGCCTTCCGCTGTGCTCTTTCCAACATATCCCATAAGCCACACAGCCAAGATATGGACCCTAATCCCAGTCAACGTGCTTACTAGTTGGTTCCCTCCCCCCCAAAAAAACCTCATGCTGATTGACCTAGACACTCAATATAATTTCTAGAGCTTCCTCGTCCTAGATGGTAACCACTGGCCATTGTGGCTGTTAAAATGTATGTTAATTAAAATTAAGTAGAATTAGAATTCAGTTCCTTGGACACATTAGTCCCACTTCAAGTTCCCAACTGCCGCTTGGGGCTGGCAGCCACCATATTGAACAGAACACACACAGAACATTTCCATCATTACAGAAAGTTCTGTTGGTCGGCATTGTGCTGAAGGAAAGTGGGCACATCTGCCTTGTTCACTGTTTCCCTAGCACTTAGAACAGTGTTCAATTCATCTTTTTTATTAAAGGAGTGATGGTGCTTTTGCTGAGACTCCTCTGCTCTCCTCTACTGCTCACACTTTTTCCTTCCACCCCACAGGGAAGGATGAAGCCAGCAGCGTGGAAGTGACATGGCCGGATGGCAAGATAGCGAGCCAGAGCGTGACCAGTGAGGAGATGAATTCAGTCCTGGAAATCCCCTACCCCCAGGATGAGAACAAATCTCAGGGCCCATCCCCACTTGAGGTGAGCAAAAGCAGTGTGGTCTCGTTGCCAGGAAAATAGACCCATCCACCACGCCTGGGGCTGAGGCTAGATTCCCAAGAGTCTGCAGACATCACCGCTAGAGTGATGGGAATTATCGTCACAAAGAGCAGGCTTCTTAGCGACTCTCCATGTGTGGCTGCCCCTGCCATCACCCACACCTCTTCTGCTCCTCACAGAAATCCTGGGGTATTGACAGGTCAAATCTTTCTGCACCTACTCTACAAAGGAGGAAAACTGAAACCAAGGAAAGGAATCCACGAGGCTGTACGGCCATTTGCAAGCAGTTAACACTTGGCCCAGGCCTCCTGCTTCCCTGCTGGTTCTTCTCAAGTCTCTGAGGGTGGGGGACTCTGGGGGCTCTTTGAGGAACAGCTCTGACTTCTAACCCTCAAGGGCATCATGTGGGCGCAAATAATTAGAATCCACTTAAACTTGCACACAAAGGGAGGATTCTAGGGGCGCTCACAAAGCCCATGGGGACGTTCAGGATGAGCAGGCTCCATGGCAGCTCAACAGCCTCCGCCCCAGGAGCTTAAGGGTCTTTATTATTAGTGCCCATCTTTTTGGAGGGGAGCATCACCCCTCTCCAGTAATCCCCACCAGGCCCCTCACTTGTCGGGATGGACAGCTGACATCTTGTCTTGGGTGTTATGTTTGGTGCCCCCTGTCCTGCCCCCAGACTGCTATCTCCAAGCAGTACAGGAAACCCCGGCAGGGGTGCATCCAGGCTCCCAAGTCTATCTCAACCTCAATTGCTCAAATTCTAGCCAAAAAGTCTTTGACTCACCCCGCCCTGATGGGGTGTCCACCCTTCATCAGCCACTCCCACGGAGGGGCATCTAGCCTGGCACATGTGCCCACCCTGGGAGCGGGGAAGGTTCTTGGAGAAGCGGGGGTGGGAGGTGAGCTGACTCCTCGAAAAGCATCTCCCGCTCCCCATTACACTTTGCCTTGACGAGGACCCAGCCCTGCCTAGCGTGATGACACAGGAGGCACAGGTGGTTTAGGGGTTCCAGCCAAGGGACGTGGATCCCACTTGAGGATGAACAGGAGCTTGACCCAGTCTGTTCTTGGTCTTTGTCTGTTATTCTCAGTGCAAGGGAAGGGGTCCTGACAGGGAGGGGGCTCCTCCTTGACCCAGAGCTAAGCACAGCCCTCGTTCTGGGGTCAGAGTAGCAGCTCCTCTGCAGATGTGGCTCTGGGGGGGCCTAAAATGGGATCTCCTCAGCTCACTGTCTCTGCTTCTTCCCCCCTTGCAGTGTGGTCAAGGATTCTCTCAGCAGGAAAACGGTCACTGCACAGGTGAGTTGCCTGCAGGCACCCGGGGATGGGACAGAGGCCAGCACTCCCTGGGGAATGGTAGCCTGAGCCCTGGCAAGGGCTAAAGTTGCAAATAAGGGATGGCGAAGTGGGCAGGGGACCCCAGATGCCAAGACAACAACTGTGTGACTGGAGTGTGGGGGGAGATTTGCAACCAGCAGGCTGAATCATTGTGGTTCTTGGGAATTGGTGGTGCTTCCCAGCCATGAATAAAGAGGGCAGGGAGGAGACACAGGACCGCCTGGACAGTGAGCCTGGGAGGCCTGGCTGTGGGCGGCTCTGATGGCTGGGGGCAGAGGGCCAATGTCCAGTATGAAGGCTTCCTCTTGGCCAGCCAGTGGAGGGGCACGTCAGAGGGAGGTGTGGGTGGACATCACGAGGGGGCATGGGAACAATCCAGGCTGGGGAATGTGGTCATGGTACAGGCGTGAGATTGCACCCGCGTGCAACACAGCCAGGACAGCAGCTCCATGAGGGCCCAGGTCTTCTGAAAGTCCCCCGAGAACTTGGAGTGGGAAAGGGGTGGCCTAGAGGCTCAGCGTCCAGAACAACTTCCATCCAGTGTCTTCCATCTCAATGACCAGACATGAGGGTCAGGTCAAGGGTTCCTCCTGCTTTAGACCCTCAGGCTAAAGTTCACACTATAGATGCTTGTCCGCGCCTGTGAATGGGCTTGCTCCTGAGACACAAGAGCAAAGGAGACAGACACAGTCCCTGCCCTCATGGAGCTTAGGACCCATGGGAGAGGCACACAAGTAAAGCATGAGGAGCAGGAATCGGTGGGGAAGGGACCCAGCTGGGGGAGCAAAAAGCAGGGCCCTGGGTGGGGGGCGGTCTGAGAAGTCAGCCCAGAGAAAGCAAAAAGGTCTAGGCTGAGACCTGAGCAGAGACGAGGATGCACCAAGCAGAGAGGGAGAGTGTCTGGGAGGAGGCTCAGCCTGGGCAAAAGGCCACGAGTGAGAAGTCAGGTGTTATGGTGGCCTGAGGCAGACATCAGGCCCCTCTGCTCTCCACGTCCCCACCCTGGCTGCTCCAAGCTAATGGTGCAGGTCCACAGAAATTCCAGTGTCTTCTGTACCCTGGAAGGAACTGTGAGGCCACCCATCCAGCCAAAATTCCTGTGCCCCCGACACAGCAGGCCCCTGATGGTGCTGGGGTGCAGACCACAAACACATGACCAACAGCTGGACTAGAGGAGTTGAGGGTCCTTACACAAGGCATTCTCTGGAGATTATTCTAGATGAGTGGTCAGGGAGAGGACCTTTGAAATGAGACCTCAAGAACAAGAAAATCCATAGAAAGAGCTGAGGCAAGAGCAGGAGCAAAGACAAGGAAGCAGGAAAAGGGCTGAAGGTACCAAACACGGGAAGCTCATATGCAGGGAGACAGAGAAAAGCCAGATGCCAAGTCATGACGGGCCCGGCAGCTCCATAAGGTGACCAGACTTGGGCCTTCGGGCCCTCACAGTGAGGCAGGAGAGCGGTATGATGGATTCACACTTCAAAAGGTCATTCTGGCTGATGATACCTGATTGTACTAGAGGGAAGAGTAGAAAGCAGGAGGCCAGTCAGGAGGCAGCTGCAGAGACCCAGGCAAGAGAGGGTGGCAGTGGAAACAGACTGGTGGCAGAGAAGGGAGGAGGTGGGCAGATGAGAGTGCCCGGGGGCAGGACGGGTGGCTCTGTTGTTAAATTACTGTAGGGGGTGAGGAAGAAGGGGGAGTCCGGGGTCAGGCTGGTTTGTGCTTGAGCAGCTGAGCAGGTGATGGTGGCATTGACTGAGTTAAGGAAACAGGAGCTAGGGGTGGAAGAGACTTGAGGGTTGGGGAAATCCAAGGCTCCATTTCAGAAATACTAAGTTTGAAAGACGCACATGAGCTAGGTTCATGAGTATGGAGCCCTGGGGAGAGGCTGTGGCTAGAGGTAGGAAGTCTGGGCTCATCCATAAAAGAGGGGATCCATAGAGGAAGTGTGGGAGAGAGAAGACCCAGGGCCAAGCCAAAGTGCCCCAACAGGTAAAGGTCAAGTACAGGAGCAGCCAGCCGAGGGGACTGAGTGAGGACGCGAGGACCCAGAGGAGAAGGGACAAGGCCAAGGTCACAGAGCGGATAGGGCTGGCAAAGCCTGAGCTAGGCCCCGCTGCCCCACTCCCCCAGCTGAGCGGCTCCCCTTGTCTTTCAGACACTAACGAATGCATCCAGTTCCCCTTCGTGTGCCCTCGCGACAAGCCCGTTTGTGTGAACACATATGGAAGCTACAGGTGCCGGACCAACAAGAGGTGCAGTCGGGGCTACGAGCCCAATGAGGACGGCACGGCCTGTGTGGGTGAGTGGGGCCCTGGCCACAGCCCGGTAGCCAAGGAAAGTGCCTTCCACTGGGGAGCTCTGGGGAGGCCCCAGATCAAGATGCCCAGCCCCGGCCTTCTCCTGGTGGATGGAAATTCCTTAGAGCTGTGTTGGTCTCCAGGGAAGACCGTGCCAGAGGCTGGAGAAATACTACACAACTAACTGCCAGCATTGGAAGGGCCCCCGAGTGTTGCACCCTCGTCTGAAGCCATTGTTCTTCTTATATCTCCCCTGACACATTTTCTAAAAAAAAAAAAAAAAAAAAATTTTCCTGCCTTAAAGTCAGCCCATCTTTTCCTACCCGGGATATAAACTAGCTCTTCCTACTAATCTTTGTCTGAATTTCTGAACTGGTATTTGTCTTCTTCCTCCCAAACTCTTTCCCCCACCCCCTCCCATCCCCACCCCCTTTCTCTTTTTCCCATTTTCTATCTCTCTACCCCATCCTTTTTGCAGCTCAAGTGGCCTTTTTAGGTAGGTATCCTTCTGCCGCCTTTAGAATCTCTGAGCCTCTCTCTCGGGCCTTATATCTTTCTCTAGGCCTTGGACTTTGCCTTCAGTTATATGCACTTTAAATCCTGTCAATAAAGGAAAAAAACAACTAACAACCTTTGTGGAAAACTAAATCTCTCCTGCTGCCTGTCTCTCTCTCCATGCCCAGTCGATTCTGCCGCGTGCTCCCTCTGAATGGACAGCAGGGTGGCCATCTTTGAAAAGGGAAGTTTGGGAGATACTGCTATTTGTGTAAACTTAGTTGTTTGTGAAGGCTTTCTTTGCATGTTTTCTGAGAAAACAGAAAAGGAAAGTCTCTATACCCCATCCAACCTCCCTCAGTCCTTCAGAAGAATCTAAATACTCCTGGCTTTTCTGTATCCTTCAGTGTTGAGAGTGTCTTATTTTGCCCTTAACAAAGATGGCTTGCTCAGTTGATTTTATAATGTATCCTGTGCCTGCTGGTTTGGCCTGTGCTGTTTCTGTTCTGTGCACCCTGACTTCCTTTGGCAGAGAAAGCCGTATTTGGGGTTGGTGGTGATGATGGGAGGGTGAAAGGGTAGCCCTTTGGGACTCTTGATAAAAATATTAAAGTTTGAACTTGCTAAGTCTTCCAGCCTCTTTCTGGAGAAATTATGCCAACAAATTCTCTGCTGGATGTTAGTGGCTAGCTGGTGAAAACAAGTACCTGGAGCAAGTAGGTGCTGGTTGAGATGCTGACCTAGCAGCAGCCCTTCCCTCGGGTAGAAATTGGAAAAGCAAGTCATCAGACAGGGAGCTGCATCGCCTGTACGTGAGCAGTGGTTTGTGTATGTATGTGTCACACTTGGAAGACCTAAGTTTGACCCTTGATCAGGCAAGGGATGTGTGGTGAGCAGAGGACAGATATGAAACAAGTACTCTGGGTCTTTAACCTGAGGGATGTCACCTCTCCACACTGGGCCTCAGTTTCCCTAATCCAAATGGCAAGAGAATTGGGCTTGTCCCTAATGGCCCTTCCCTTTCTAACCCCCCTCAATGTGTGGCTGGACACAGGCATGGCTGGTCTCAGATTACACTGAGCTCTAGAAAGAACCTTGCAACTTGGTCTTCACTGCAATATGTTTGGAAGCCTGGGCACTTCTGTAGCCAGAGCACCCTTTTGGAGATGATGTAACGCCACAGAATGCTTTCACGGCCAGCCTCAGCGTGAAGGTTCATTATAAATCACAGATCTATTCTTCATGGGGGAAAAAAAAAAGTCACCTGAGATGTAATAAATTCACATTTAAGAATACAGCAAGCCTTTAAAAAACATATTTAACAAAAAAAACCCTACCATTTTTTGATATAATAATAATATTTCCCTATAAATCACAAAATATTAATTCCTTGTAGCTGGTGCTGTTTTAACACTTGAACAGAAGTTTAAATGAAAAGTTTTAAAATAAAAACAGCTACAATTTCACAGGAAAGCATACACCAACCTAAAAATTGCTCCACTTCTGGGAAGCCCATTCCTGGGTGTTAACATGGAATTAAAGATCCCAGGCGGCTCAGAGAGAGGAAGTCTCTGCCCAAGGTCACAGAGCCAGCTGGTCCCGAGCTGGGGCTGGCGCCTTTTCCACTACACTGTGGGGCCGGGGGTGACAGACAGTGCTGTCACTATTCAGTCTATTCCCTAGTCTTTCAGGAAGCTGCTGCCCTTTTAGAAACAAACAAGTAGATCTAAGATAGTGAGATAAGTAAAACCAAAACCCAAAGAGGCAATGGCTCCAAATGCAACAGTAAATGACAAGATAACAAGAGTCCATTGACGGGTGGCTCACAGCGGGAAACATAAGGGACAGGACAGTGAGGGAGACAGCCTGCCAAGGGCAGAAGGAAATTCCATGTGACAGCAAACTTCAGAGGGTGCCTTGTAAGTGATAACCATGATTCTCTACACCTGTCTTCTAACAGGGTAATTTGTGTCTTTTAACCCTACCTTGAGGGGGCTGGGGAAGGGGAGGTCCAGATGAGTTACAATCACTGCAGCTGTTAAGAGCACAACTTAAGGATTCAATCTCCAGGGTGAAAAGGCTTTTCATTCATTCATTCATTCATTCAGCAACTGTTGGTTGAGCACCTCTTATGTACCAGGCACTGCGCATACAATGGTAAGGAAAGGTAACCCACACTGCCTTCTTCCTGCCAGAAAGAGAACCCCCGTGCACAGCACTGGAGAGGGTCTCCGAGGGGCTTTCTGAAAAATCTAGCTACATTCCTGTGTTGCTATATGAGAAAGCTCTCTCCATTCATCCACTCGTCCCTGCGTTCATTCAGCAAGCATTCACTGAGAACCGTCTGTGGGACAAGCATGGGGCCTCCCATGAGGCCAAAGTCCCTCCAGTGAGGAGGTCAAGTCCTCTGCCCCCAAGATGCTTTATATTGGAAGAAATATGAGGCTAAAAGAGGTACTGAACCAATTTAACATTATCTGCCCCCAAATAGTAGGGCCTCCCCAGTGGGCCAGGAGTCCAAGCTTTCTGAACCAAGAGATTCAAGCCCAGTGCATTGGCAGGTCTGTGCTGTCCCAGCCTCAGAAAGCAGCACAGAACCACATGCACACTAACCAGACTCAGGATTCCAGCCCTTGTCTCCTAATTTCCCTTCCTCTGAGACTTGTGGGGTCTTCTTCCCCTCCTGAGCCCTGCTGGGGCTCCTTACATCTTTGTTGGTTTCTGCTGCCTATGAGTTTCTCACAGAAATAACATGCCTTCAGGGGCTGACCCATAGTGTATGGGCCTGAGGGATTTTGCAAACGAGGTGCTTGTGCTCCATCTGAAGGGGCCCCCACTCACCCCAGCAGAGCAGGGAGGTGGGCCAGCATTGCCTGAACTTCCCACTTTTCAAGGAAAGCCAAACAATAATAATGGTAGCAATAATAATAATACCACCCTTATTCTGCCAAGAATGCTTCTCTTGCCAGGAATGCACCCTTTAAAAAGACAGTAATAGCTTAGGTCCGGTGAACTCGGAGTGTCTGGGTTAGATCTTAGCTCTTTACAAGAATCAACGCATTTAATCCTCACAACAATCCTAGGAGGAAAGTCCTGTAATCATCTGGGCTTTATGGAGAAGCTGCCTGGCTTGTCTAGGGTCACAGGGCTGGGACAGACAGGCGGCCCTCGGACTCCCAGCCTCTGCATAAGCCTGTGCCTGCCTTCTCCCTGGGCAGCCAGCTGGTCGCCTCGAAGCCACCCTCTCTCATGCTGCCCCAAGACAAGAGAAGACTCAGAGGGAAGAAATGGAGACCCTGGAGGGCCAGGATCTGAGAGTCTCACAGTCACGTTCACACTGCAGGAGGAGACAGCAGTGCCCAGTCCAGTCTCCCCGCAGGCCGGCGTGGCCGATGCCGAGTCCCCCAGGACCTCGTCCAGCCTCTCCTTGGTCGCCAACCCTGCTCTGGGGAGGTGCCATTCTGAGGGCCAGGAGTTTGATTATGTGTCACTCTGGCTGCTATGGCCCCCTCCCAGGGTCTGGGCGTCACACCCGGAGCAGCACGGCGGACACTAGACCAAGCAGGGACGCCGCTCCTGCCTCTGAACAGGGCGTTGGTCGCCTCTCCAGAGCCTCAAGGATGGAATCGGAGGAGAATGCTCCATTTTCTCCAGGAGTCAGCGAAGTTCCAGCAGATTCCAAGTCAATCCCTGACACAGACCCTCAGCCCAGGAGGCAAGCTGAGTCCCTCCCTCTCTCCTTCCCCGGGGTCAGCTGTCGCCTCTCTCCTTCTGCTAGGTCCAGAACCCCAGCCACATCCTGCTGGGCTGCTGTTGCGTCTCCTTAGCAACAGGCACATCCTGGGAAGGGGACGCAGCAGAGTGAGAGAGCACGGCTGGTAAACTCCACAGATATGCCAACCCCCTCCTGCAACAGCTCATCCTCTTAAGGAACTGCTGTTGAACAGAAAAATGGTCAAAGGGTAGGCCATCAGAGAAAAATGAGAAGCAAGAAGAGACAAAACCTCCTCGGGGAAAGGAGCTAACATTTACAGAATGCCTACCGTGGGCCGAGAACTTCACACCCCTCCTCTGAGATCAATGTTATTAGTCTGTTTTATTACTGAAGAAACTGAGGCTCATAAAGAATAAGTTACTCAAGGTCCTAGAGCTAGAATTCAAACCCAAAAGCTGTAATTCAAACCCAAAACTGTCTGGCTCCAAAGCCTATTTCCTTAACCCTTATGCTGGGCCATCTCTAGGTAACTGGCACCTGAGCTAATGATGGAACCAGTTACCCTTCAACATACACTGACTGGACACGGCCTTGTTCTAGCAAAAACCCTGCCCTGCTGACATAAGGTGGGCCCCCAATAAGTATATAGTGTGTGAGATGGTGATGAGTTGGGGAGCACTCAGGCTTATTGGGAGTGCTGGGCAGGGGAGGGCACCTTCTCCAATAGGTAGGGCCAGGTGGGCCTTGATTTTTAACAGAGACAGAGCAAATGATCTGTCTTTGAGCCTGGTTCTTTGTCTGTAAAATGGGGAATACCCATCACATAATTATTGTATTAAATGAGATGATACAAAACACTTGACATGGTGCTTCACCCGTAGTAAGCCCCCAATAAATTGGAAATGTTATTGATAATTTAAATAGCAAAGTTCAGGATGGAGCCTGGATGGATTCAATGCCAAACCCCATCCTGCTGCAGTCAGGTGACCCGGGAGCCTGTAGCGTGGGAGACATGGGTACCCGCCACCACAGGGCTGACAGCTTGGCGGGGCCGACAGCTTGGCAGAGAAGAGACCCCAACCCTGAAAATAGCCTTCCCAGGCTTGGGCTCCACTGAGGTGTTAGGCTTAGGTCTCATGCGGTGCCAGTTCGGGTGGAATCGTAAAATATGGGAAACCGAGGGAGGGTGTTGCATTGATTGGGCTGCACTGAGAAAGGTCACCAGGCACTCGTGGACTGGCCTGGGGACTCAGCCCCAACCATCACAGATCCTAGGTCGTTATGCCCAGAGGCACCGGAGAAGTCATCTAGTCCTGCCCACTCCTTTTCAGCTATAGAAGCTGAGGACCCAAAAGGAGCAGTGCCTTTCCAGAGGACTGCAACCCGCTGGGGCACCTTCTTGTTCACCCAGCCGACTGCTCAAAGTCAGCCATGCTGAGATCTCAGCCCCAGTGCCCTCCCGGCCTGCTTCTCCAGCAAGTTTGAAGCATTTCAGATGCACAGTGGTATCGACAATTTCAAAGCTGTGGGGGTTAGGGCCTTTAAGTATTTGTTCTTTCCATTTTGTTGACATAGAGCAGAGTCGGGGTAAGTGTCATCGAGTGAACAGAGGACCATGTTTGGATCATGGATCAGGCTACATTGCAAGAGTTGAGTGGAGGTAGCAGGTGCGGGGAGGGGCCTGCTCAGCTGAGAGAAGGGAGCTGGCAGGCAGTGTCAGGAGCATAGGAGGGGAGGGTGGGAACAGAGCAGAAGCTGAGTCACCTGCGCAGGATGTCCTGCTGTTCTGCAACCATCCTAGGCCTGGTGGGTTCCTCATTGGTTCGGGCACCTTGAAAGAGTAACTTGGAGCCCTTGGCATCATCCCCACAGATTAGGGGAAACAAGCCAGCAGGGTAACAGCAATTCAGGGACCCCTGCGAATCCTTATATATGTTTCTGGGCTCTCTGGCGTTCTCTCGTGGTCTCTTCACTGGTCTCTACTCTCTCCGCCATCTGTCCTCCTGTTAAGGGCAAGAAGACCACAGTGCAGGTTTTCTAGG